TAATATTATACTGTATTGTAACAATGCAATGTTTTGTGGACCCAGGATATACTTGGAAACGAGAGAAACCTCAACGTATCCTTCCTGGTAAAATATTTTATAAATAAATAAATAAATCTTAGCACCTTCAGAGGACTGAGAGAGCAGAGGGGATGTGATAAAGGGATATAATTGTAAATGATTAAACCAGGTTTGCAAAAATGTGCCCTAGAAGTCTCTAACTATTGACTTTGTCTTTAGACAAAATGCTCAAGGATGACCGTTTCTCGTTAATACAGAATATAAGAATACAAAAAACAAGGGGAAGGAAGATAGTACAATAATCTTACTCCTGAGCGGGGGTTAACCCCTAGTGCAACGAAATGCACTATAAAACTAAACAATAAGGAAGGGAGACAGGCGAATCACTTGAGGATTTCTTACAACAGTTATTTGAACTAAAATTTGTTTGTATACCCCCCCTTTTAACTATTTACATTAAAAGTGAAGTTTTAATTATATTTCCTCTTTTGTGATCTCCCCGAGCCCAACCTATCCTAAGGTCACCCCTATATAACGAGGCAACTACCACTCTGCAGGACACTCTGTCATTTATCCTGCCACTTCTCCCGTCTCCCTTCCTTATTGTTTACAGAATATAAGAATTTTCATTTTTTGGCATAGCAGAGGCTGAGATCTGTTCTCTTGAAATAAAAATAGTTCTTTAATTGAGATTCAAAGAACTATTGCAGAAAGTGATGTTTCCCCTTTTGTAATTCTTTTTTAATTCCTCTCCAATTCAAAACTCTTTTTTTTTTTCTTCAGTATGCAGCAATTGTACTATTACAATGATCTAAGAATAAAACAGTCATTTATAATTACAGACTAAAGACAAAAACATTTTCAGAAAAAAATAATACAAAATAAGTGTGTTGTTAAAAACATTTATTACCAATCCTTTAATAATAGAAAAGACATGATTTTTCCTTTTGTATGCAAATATATGATAAATAATTTTGTATTAGCGCAAATCACAAAAGATGAAGCATTTACACCCACATTTCATATATATTATATATTTCCTGTAATTTAAATGCAAGAAAGACAGTTTTCTGTCTTATAATAATAAAAAATAATAAAAAAGTACTGAACATACAAAATGAAGACAAAGATGGGGTTTATTCGCTAAACCAATAACCACAGAGAACTGACAGGGGTGAGGGGGGATGTGCACATTTTTGCCCACTAAAGCCAAGCAGGAATATCTAATATTTTTGGTTTAATGAATAAACTCTAATTACAAAATATTCAAAAGGGACTAAAAAAGTTCAAACAGGATATCCCCTTTGAAGTAATCGTCAGGAAGTTGATTTCAAATTTAAGGTCACGATAGCTAAAGTGGAAAAATACTCAGCTGTGACCGTGTAGATTTGAAGGAATGTGATGTGGGTTTGGGAAATGGGTACCTTTGAAGAGAGTTATCTTGGGGATTTAGAAGGTGTTTCGGAGAAGGATGGCTCTGAAGAGTGGTATAATGGAGACTAAAAAAGGAGACTGGCAGAACTTTGTCTTCAAGGGACTGAGATGGGAAATTGGGGTAGGAATAGCTTCTGGGTGCTGAAATGGAGTCTATGAAAAGCATGGGAGAATGATGGGAGACAAGTGACTTTGAAAGACTGGCATGGAAAGATTTTTAGTGGAATGGATTTGGAGATGAGAGATTTGGAAAGTGTTTTTTGTGGGTGTGACGAAAGCACCTTCGTCACTGGGACTTGGAGAGGCCTGCTTGCCAGCCTCTTGCCCTGTGACTATGGCCCCTGGGATATATTGCCCTTTAAAAACACTATTTGGGCATATTGGATCTTAAAGGCACTGTTTCTGCCCCTTGGACTTTTGACTGGAACAGATTCAAACATGTGGCGGCAGCCATCTTAAATTGTTCAGCAGTGTTTTGCCGTTGAGTGTATGTAGCTGTTTTGGGCATGGTACCATGTGCACGGTGGGGCAAAAATAAGACTTCCAGGAAATTCCTGAACCCCTGAACTGATCTGGGTGATTTTTGGATATGTTGTTCACCCAGATTGTGGTTATCAGAGGATGTGACTTGTGGGGATATGTTGTATTTTGGGGTACTTTTTGGGGTTTGTAAAAATGTATGTCTTTTTTCTTCCTAGAGTTAATTGAGTTAGTCCATTGTCTTAGTTAATTGTATCACAGGCAGAGGGGAGAGCTTGTGTGCTGTATGTGGGAGTGTCGGACATTGTTGTATTGTTGTAATTGGTTTGTGTGCCTGTGTTCCATCAGACCCAGGGGGTGTGCCTCTGGCCTGAGGAATTGTATAAATTGTGAGTTCTGGCTTGCATTAAACAAACCTGCTTACCCCTTCATGAAGTTTTGGCTCATGTTTGGGGGATTGGAGAACTACACTCTAGGGATTGCTATAATCACTATACTCCCCAGAGTATAATCACTAGCTCTTGTAAGAGCTGTTCTTGTTCCTGGTTCCTGCTCTCTGGATTTAGGAGAGGTTCACCCACTGGAAGCTGGAGCCCGGTCTTGGGTCCAGGGTGGGTGAAGGACGGCGAAACCACAACCAAGCTGCGGCGGTTCGTGGTTCTTGCAGTGGTTATGGTGCCAAGTGCAGTGCTGATGGTCCTTGGTGAGCACTAGGAGCATCGTTCGACGGAGGCACCCAGTCGGGGTGGCAGGTGTTCCGTGGGAACCAAGATGGAGATGGTGAAAATGGTAACTTCTGTTACTGAAATGGTAGTAGAATTAGGAGTTTGAGAGAGGGGTGAAAGAGATGGTGAAAATGGTAACTTCTGTTACTGGCTTTGGTTATTTGAATTAGGAGTTTGAGAGAGGGGTGATTTTGGGAGTACTGAGATTGTGACGATGGGAAAATCGTTACGTGATAGCTACTGAAATTAGTGATTGAGAATAGTTGGCTTGGATGGCACTGAGATGGGAGATTGGTGGCTTAGAGGATTTGGAGTAAGGCATAGGGAAAAGTGTGACTTGACCTGGAACTTGGGAGAACTCAAGCGGAAGCTTGTTTAATACTTAATAATCCTGCATGTGTGCTCTACTTATAAATAAATACTGTGTTTGATACTATTTAGCTTGGGCTCCTGCCTCTCTATCTGTTTGTACTGCCTAAATATTACATCTGATTCAGAAGAGTATCCTGTTTTGCTATACTGTGGGTGTATCCCTCTCCATTGGAGCAATTCAAACCCAGAGCCAGAGGTGATAGGGCTCTGGTCCATGTGAGTTGATCCCCAGATATACTTTTAATCTTGTACCCTGTATATACAGATAGTCTGCACTATATACTGTGTATATTTTTTCAGAGTACTCAGAGAAGACCTTGACTCCCGTGCAGTTGCTTGCGCACTCCAATTTTCTGGTATCTATTGCTAATTTGTGTCACTGTGTGTCACTTGGGGTAGTGCAGCAGCACTGCAGATATTCTTAAGCACTTTGACTCCATCTGGTTTTTTAGTTTGTGAGTAGCAAGTTTAATGCACACAACCCAATTTTCCTGGGTTCAGAAATCCAAAAATCCAAAACTTTCAGTACTGATCTCACACATGAAAATTATGTTGATCCTGCCTCTTTAACAACGCCAAGTGCTTCTTCTGACTTCTGAATGATAATGCAAACATATTAAACACAAAACAATTTTTAAATGTATCCTTTATCTACAATGTATGTATATAATCACTTGTGCAACACTGTATTGTAATCCAGAACTAATGTATCCTTGAAATGAAAGGAACCTCAATATATGTTCTTAATAACAAAAACATTACGAGGTCACTTCTTTGTGGTTGATATCAGTTATATGTAGCACTTTATAGAGCTTGCTGTAAGAATGATATCCTCTCCATCTGCCTAAGCAGGCAACTTATTAGTACATTGCACACTACCAGTTTTAAAGCGGCACTGTCACCGACTGGGATCTTTGGGGGTATACAGACAAAGGTGAATTTTACTTACCTGAACCTTTTGCTCACAGGCACCGCCATCTTCTACCTGCAGGTCCTCTTCAGTGCCACGAGAGGATGTCACTACTTTACGCTCGTCCATGTGCAAGAGTACAGCATTGAGGCCTTTGTTGGATCCCACAAGACCACAGGATCCTCCATAGACGAAGCCAAGTGTCTAGAAATGTCAGGCATAGGAGAAATACTGAGACAAAGTAGATTTTAGTGCAATTCCAACACAGCTAATATGAGTTTCATAAAGATTATATCTTTCTGAAATACTTATTTTTCAGGTGTGGTAACAGTGCCACTTTAAAGACACGGTCAGTGGAGCTAAAGTACATTCTTTGCACGTGGTGTTAAAACTCGTTATATTGCAGCAAGGAAATAACATGAGAATATCAGGGTTCTTCTGCCAATGAGACTGAAGTTTCACATTTGGGACACATTTATACTTTTTAAGTTTTACATGTATTTTTCTTTTTCTTTTTTTGTTGTTGTTAATCTTTCTTTATTCAAAATCCATCATTAGGACAGGTACAACATAATAAGAATCAATGACATAGTATAAGGCAGTTATGGTACGTTGCATAGCGAATTCACCATGATTGAGTTTTTTTTAATGTTTAAATGTATAAGAAAACAATAGATAACATAACATGCTAGAACTAAGCCTACCACCCCTGAACAAGATACCTAACAATGTATTTGTAAGTTGCGTAGGGGTTGCATAGGCTATGTGCCTCTTAATACAAAATTAACTCTATGGTGCTATCACCAAATTGTAGTGAGCAAGAGACTGTCACCCACTATGCTGGGTATAAAAAGTGGTTCAAAACAAAGATTGGTGGGTAGGGAGTGAGGGAGAATAAAGGGCACCTAATCCCCTATGCCAAGGTAGGTGAAGGTACAGAACGTGTCTCTAAGGACCCTTAGCATGGTTAAAGTTATGCAGTGAGGCAATCATATAAACTGAACGCATACAAATTAAACAAAATAAAAACAATAAGTGGTCCAGGACAGAGAGGGCAGTCAAGGGATCTCTGCGGAAGCGGGATTTCTGCTTTGAACGGGCGCCAAAAATGGGCACACCGTGGTCACATACCAGGTAGTCAGCTGTTTAGATTGCGCTGGTGGTTGCGGCCCTATTTCCATGGGTGGGAACACAAGCCGCCTCAGAAGCTGCTGTAACATCTCCTCTAGTTCCGGTGGAGGCAGCCTGTGACGAAGGTAGCCGGTAGCATCCATCTAGAGCCATAACCTTGGCTTGTTTAGGGGAGAATAAACTTCTAAGCAGTCTCAGAATGTGATGGGCGATTTCAGCTGCCCTAACACTCTCAGCTAGCCCTGGATAATAACGTACTTCCAACGTCTGTGGTCCTCCATAGACGCCATGTGGAGCAGATCTTGATTGAGTGTAGCCAACTCCCTTTCCAGGCCAGTAATGCAAACCTCGTGGGCCGCGGTGTCAGTGTCTGTGTCGTGGAGGTGCATGGACACCCCATTGATTTCCTCCTTTAACAGGCTGATAACTGCCACGATATTACTGTGAAGGTCTGCCAAGACTTCACTTCAAAGTACCCTTCCTAATCCAGGAACCCTTTTTCTGTACTGGGAGTGGGTCCATCCTCTGCCTCTCCGCTGGTACCTCCAGATCTCTCAGATCAGCAAGGGACTCTTTCCTGAATGTCCTGGAAGGGACGTCCAAAAGTGGTGCCATTAAAGCCTTGAGGGATTATGTGGCCTCCAAAGCAGGTAGGCTGTTTATCTACCTAGTGCTTCTTACTTTTGCACCCTATATTGTAGGTAAGACAGTCTCAGAATGTGATGGGCGATATCAGCTGCCCTAACACTCTCAGCTAACACTGTGAGGGCAGTTGCAGTAGGATATTAAGGCAATTTTAGTGCATTTTACTCAGTTTGGCATGGAGCGCCCTTGAGACACATTCAGTCAAGATGGCTGCTGACTCTTCCCCCCCGCCCCCTATTTTTCTTTTTTAAATTGTACTTGTCATACCCCAAATTAATAATGTTTAAAAGAACTCAGTTTATTGAAAAATATGCAACATGGTACAAAAAATACACACAGACCTCGTAAGTAACTTGCAATCTAGAAAAATCCAAGATAAATTCACAAAAAATACAAAGAAAAATTCTAAAGCATTTTAAAATTCCAGATTCAAGTAGCTGTGAGAATTTGGGAAGAAAGGTGACAAAGGCTAGAAATTACACTGAGCAGGTTCTCCATTTACCCACTTGATAAAGCGTTATGGTAAACGATTAGTGTAATTCCTAGCATTCGCTACCTCCCACCCCCCCTTTTCACAAGTACTTTGGATCTGTTTTTGTTTTTGAATTTTTCTTTGGATTTTTTGTTTATTTTTCAATAAACTGAGTTCCTTTAAGGATCCGCCTTATGGAGATGATTTGGAGTTTACTGATTATTAAGTGTGGTTCTTTTCTGGAATTGTGGTGATTATAGATTTTGGACCTATGGAACCAGAACAAGAAGCCAGCAGTGAATCTATCAGCTATAGTAAGTAATCACTGTGTACTTAATTTTTTTTTTTTTCTTTATCGGAGTTGCGGCATAGAGGCTATCCGTAGAGGGAATTTTCTACTTTTCTGTGTGTTTTTCACTTGGTTTTATTTTATAGCAACCACAGTGCATGTGCTGTGGTAGCTATAGAAACTTCCTAGCCTGTTGCTGCTAGTGCTGGCTAGGGATTCTAAGAATGGAGTGACACCGCATGCAGGCAACGAATCCAGTGTGCTGACCCACAAAGTGTCCTCAAGCAGAGCAAATCCTGTAAGAGTGGAGGAGTAGTGGAGGACTGAACAGTAACACCCACGAATTTTAGAAGATGGCGGTACAGGAATGGAGGTCAATATATGATTCATTATGTATTTCTGTGATGTATTCAGTGTATTTGGACCCGCGCAGCGCTGGAATTAAGGAGAGTTTTATTAACTTTTAAAAGGGCTAAGGGGGTGGTTGAGGCAGCTCCCTAAATGGTGGGTTTTACAATATAGGGTCAGGAATACATGTTTGTGCTCCTGACCCTATTGTGTTCCTTTAACAAAAAGTAAAAAAAAATGCAAATAAGAAAAAAAAAAAAAAAAGAGATACTCACCTTAGGAATTAGTAACCATATACACACATTGCTGAAGTTGTTAGTTATACAGGAAGTATATTTTAAGATAAAATTCCAGGTGCAGGACACTGTGTACTTTGTACATTACGTAGTATCGTTTTTGTTTTGTTTTTGCTGTAGTTAGGATATCTTTTGTCAGCAGAAAGCCATCTCCAGGAAATGAAGGACATATAATGTGTGGTCCACCCAATAGTAAATCTGTTGCAAGGACAATCTGACAGTGTAAAACTATTTCAATGATGAAGATGTCAAATTTCTGTATAGCTAATAACAAGCATGTTTTCCCTTGGATAGAATAGAATGTACATTTGTTTGATGTTTGATGTTCATAGTTCATACAGGTAGCTAGTGGAATCCTAAATAATTATTGTTGAAATAATTATGCTTTGTCATCACTTAGGGTTCATTTTTGTTTTAAACTTTTATTGTTGTGAGTCGACTGGAAATGACAAGCATAATACTGTAGTCACAAATATTACATATTAAGACATAGGATAATAACTTGCATATCATACACAACATCATTTGTTAGAAAGAAAAATAAATGACATACAATCAAAACTAAGATATACTGTCTTTTTGTAAGAAGGCAAAGTAAACAAAACATATGACTCCAGTTCAGCACAGGTTGAAGCAACACTAGGGGTGATAAATCAGAGGTTTGTGTTAATATATACTGCAGCATTGGCCCACTATTACCCTAGTGAGTTACCAGTCCATAAATTTAAAAAAATAGATTTAATTTTGGATTGGCTAGATCTATCCATATAATTAATATAAGGTTGCCAAGTAAGAATTTTGTTTTTGTCAAAGTGCTTTTGTTTAGTGAGGATTTGATCCAATCCATTTTAAATAGGAAGGGAACTTGATGTGAAGTAGTAATATCAGGGGAGGGAAGAGACTGATGTACAATTTTTAAATGCATTTCTTGATAAGTTGCTGATGGGAGTAATTTGAGTACTTTGAGAGTTGTTGCTATGAACACCTCATGGGTTAATACCCATCGAGACATGCTGAGTGGTCCAAGCAGGGCTGAATTAGGCAATAGAGTGAGGTAATGTAGTAAGTAGTGGCGGGTTGAGTAAGTAAATACTCTGTGGGATAATCCCGATCCACAGAGCCAAAATCTGTAGATATGCAATGAAGGAAATATTGAGGTCAGGAAATTGGTGTTTATCTTGATGAAACTAGAGGACTGTCTTATTATGATTATTCAGGAAATTGAGTATTCTTGCATGGCCTGCAGCCTCCCAGGAATGGTATGGGTATTGGGTATGGCTTCCCGATCCATGGTTACGTAAAAAGAGAATTAAAGCATGGAAGTTGGTGAGACAGCTCCTAGAGCTTCATGCTCTGGTAGTTCTGATGGAGCCCCAGTACTCCAACCAAGTACCTCCGCCAAGTCCGCTTCCTCGCAGCTGTCAGGGACACTGGAGCACTTCAGACCCAGGCACTGAGGCTTGACTAGGATCACCGAGGGCCTTTTCCACCCTGGACCAAACACCAGATGACACTTGGTGAAGGTTAAAACAACAACTAACTTTACTAGACATAGCAACATCCTCATTTACATACAATGGTCCATAAAGCACTATAATACAAGGAAGGGTATGGTCAGACAATAGCAAGGGCTGATGGGAGATTGAGGAGGGACAAATCAGCCAGTTTAAACTGGTCTGACAGTGTCCCTGGGACAATGCCCTGCTGGGGAAACAATAGGACAGGAAAAGGGGGGAATGGGAGAGACACAGACAAGCAATACATTCAACATACCCTGCATCAATAATGGGCACAGAGTGACCAAAACACAAAAAGAATCTGGGAACACACACATAGTGTCTGTCTTCCATCACCAGTGACAGTGACTACCGTCACATATCTTCTCCCTCCCAAAGGTAGACTAACCATGTACCGGATCTCTAATCGGTCTGTGCCTGAGTTAGTAACAAGTCCCAAGCAGTCAATCCATCCTGACAGCCTCATCGACAAAGTTCCACATAGTTTGTAAGTTTGTCCCAGTCGGGCGCATGGAGCCCTCATAACCGATCAGTCCATGGAAGTCTGGTTTGGGCAGGCCAGACTGGGCTTCCAGGTCACCCTGTGGTGCCCCTAATAAGGGTGACATAGACATAAGAGGTTTTAGAAGTGGAGAAAGGGAGTTCCCAGTAAATCTGCCATGCCCCCCCTCCCAAACTCAAACCTATCCCTATCTGACTCCACTCTAAGTTGGCCACCATGACACCCACACACCCCAGTAGCAAATCTGGAACCTTGTGTCTCCAGCCCAGGATAGTTTCCAGCACATTTTTCCCCATTCAAAAGGAGACCAATACAGGAGATTCCAGATGAGTAAACTCCGAAGTTAGTCAGTACATACATCCTACCGCTGTCACCATATGTGACGGAGCTCAAGTACTTCAACTGAGTACCTCCGCCAAGTCCGCTTCCCCATAGCTATCAGGGACCTTGGAGCACTAAAGACCCAGGCACCGAGGCTTGACTGGGATCACTGAGGGCCTTTTCACCCAGGACCAAACACTAGACAATGCTTGTTGAAGGTTCAAACAACAACTAACTGTAGTAGACATAACACACATATTTTAAGCCCCCAACAGCCTCATTTACATACAATGGTGCATAAAGCACTATAGTACAAGGAAGGGTGGGGTCAGACAATAGCAAGGGCTTATGGGAGATTGAGGAGGGACAAAGCAGCCAGTTTAAACGGGTCTGCCAGTGTCCCTGGGACAACGCCCTGCTGGAGAACAATAGGACAGGAGAAAGAGGGAGGGGTGAGACACAGACAAGCAATACATTCAACATACCCTGCACCAATAATGGGCATAATGGGCACAGGGTGGCAAAAACACAAAAGAAATCTGGGGACCCACACATAGTGTCTGTCTTCCATCCCCAGTGACGGTGACTAGCGTTACAGTAGTGAATGCCAATAACAGATTTTCTTGCACTGCCTCTGGAATGGAGGCATAGGGAGTGTGAAGCAATCGAGAAAGCTCTACACAAGTTGTTACTATTGATACTACTGTGAATTGTATTTATCCAATCTAAAGCATGACGATAGTGTGTGTCTGAAGTGTAGAGTTTTATATTTGGACATTTAGACCCAGACTAAATCTGGGTTGGCATAGTTTGTGTAACACAATTCTCTCCAATTAAGCATTAGATTATGACCTCACTAAGCAAGGAATATGAGGCACAGGTAACCCTTACTTGGGGGCAATCTGACATCTACAATGAATGCAAGACTGTGCCAGAACAGATTTGCATTTCGTATAAATATAGAAAAGTCATAGCAGCATAACTGAGATGTAACTTTTTATTAGCTAACAGAATGTGCCAGTACATCTAAGTTGAAAGTTCCTCTTTAAAATTTCTCTATAGTTAGATATAAGCAAAAAATGTTTTATGTTTTTTAATTTCTTTGTTTGAATCAATACGTTTGACTTTAAACTGCAGGCACTCCTGTATTTCCTCCTGCCAATTGTTCTAACCCAAATACAATAAAAAAAATACTTTTAAATATACTAAAAGCGTCACAAGACATTATTCTGTTTACTCAGGCCAGACACTTGTGCTGTTGAGTAAAACAGGAACACGTATTATCTTGCATAAACTAGACAAATATTAACAGACAAGTACAACATGTCCGTTCTTGTGTTCCGGTAACTGGTTTGGCATTCATAAATGCTGCGAATGGTGTCAGGTGCAGAAAGGCACAAAGACTGTTTACAGGCAGGCCAAAGGTACTAGTTCAACACCAGGCAGATATGCTATATTCAAAGGATATACAAAATAAATTACGGGCATACGAAATGGAACTTCTAACTGCTAATCTATGATGACAACAGAAGCCTTTAGTATGTGCCTCATCTACAGTGATCAGCCACAACATTAATACCATTTGCCTAATATCGTGTATATCCCCCCTGTGCTGCCAAAACAGCTCTGATGCATCAAGGCGTGAACTCCACAAGACCTCTAAACGTGTCCTGTTTTATCTGGCACCAAGACATTAGCCAAGATCCTTTGAGTCCGCAAGTTGTGAGGTACAGCCTCCATGGGTCAGATTTGTTATTCTAGTACATCCCACAGATGCTCAGTTAGATTGAAATCTATGGAATTTGGAGGCCAAAGCAACATCTTGAACTCTTTGTCATGTTCCTCAAACCATTCCTGATAAATTTTTGCAGTGTGGCAGATTGCATTATCCTGCTGAAAGAGGCCACTACAATCAAGGAACACCTTCGCCAAGGGGTGTACGTGGGCTCCAACAACCTCTAGGTAGGTGGTACATGTCAAAGAAACATCCACATGAATTTCCATGGACCCAAGGTTTCGCAGCAGAATATTGACCTGAGCATAGCACTGCCTCCACCAGTCTGCCTTCTTCCCACAGTACATCCTGCTGCCAACATCCTCAGGTAAACAACGCACCAAGCCCTCCACCTGAGCTCAAAGATAATGATAATGACTCCAAACCAGGCAACCTTTTTCCATTGCTCCATGATCCAGTTCTGGCACTCATTGAAGGCCCTTCAGTGGTAATCTTGGGCACTCTAATTGGTTTATGGCTATGCATATATTCCTTACATGGGGCCAGAAGCTGTCTTATCTGTGCTAAGCTGGGCAGTGCAGGACTTATCTCACTGGATGAGAGCAATTAGTTGATGCGCTTAGCCGAAGAGCAAGCCCTAGCTTAGCTCAATAGAGCTAATGGAAGCTCCTAGCAGCAGTGTTCTCATTACTAGAGGGGAAGAGTGAGGCAGTGACACACGGCAGTCCTCTAAAAAGAACTTACATTGGGATAGGATGCCAGGGCACTTCTGATACCAAAACCACTACAGTATAGCAATAAGTATGTGGACTAATGTAGATAATATCTGAGTAGAACGATATCTAATTCAGTCAGGAGTTGGCTGAACAAATGAATAAAACTTAACCTTTAATAAGAATAAAGCTTAAAAATGTAAAATACGGGTCTCAGACGATTTTGGAGGTGAAGATGCTCGATGTGGAGGTCCTGGGCTGATGTGTTTATACGTGGCCTGCGGTAGTGAGGCCTGTTGGATGTACTGCCAAATTCTCTGAAACGCCTTTGGAGACGGCTTTTGGTAGAGAACTGAACGTTCAATTCACGGGCAACAGCTCTGGTGGACAATCCTGCCGTCAGCATACCAATTGCATGCTCCCTCAAAAGAACATGCGACATCTGTGGCATTTTGCTGTGTGATAAAACTGCACATTTTAGAGTGGCCTTTTATTGTGGCCAGCCTAAGGCACACCTGTGCAATAATCATGCTGTCTAATCAGCATTTTGATTTGCCACACCTGTGAGGTGGATGGATTGTCTCGGCAAAAGAGAAGTGCTCACTAACACAGATTTAGACAGATTTGTGAACAATATTTGAAAGAAATAGGCATTTTGTGTACTTATAAAAAGTCTTAGATCTTTGAGAATATTTTGCCTTAAGTTCCAAACAGAAAAACCTAACCTAACTGGTGGATAATACCATTTCAGTTCACCTGTTAACCTGCAATAATACACAGAACAGTTCTTTTACTTTTCTAATTTTCCTACCTAGGTATGCCACATGGTATCTTATCTCACTCAGTGACCTTACTGTTGCACTGTTCTAATTTTATAATTTCCATATAAACAATATTAGTGTTATGTAACAGCTCATGAAATGTCCGTTGTCTGCGATGATCCTAATTAGTCATTGTTTTGCAGGTTAGGGAATGTGTTACCATTTATATATATAAAATGTTACAGAAACGGTCACATTCTGTTCTGTTGAGGTTTTGCTTTTCTTGTTTGGATGTTTCATTATCGTGTTCTATTGCTTTTAACTGATGTACTGATTGTGTAAACAAGAGAAACGTTTGTTAGGAACAGAGCTACTTTCTAAAAAAACTCAGCTTCATTTTGCAGTTTAGTTTTATAAAGCATTTTAGCTCAATTTGTATTTAGCTTCAATACAGGAATAACAATAAATGTATTTTCCCACACAAGTTACACGCAATAGGAAGTCACTAAAAAGGTCAGGAATTCAAAGTGAATTTCAAATTTAAGGCCAAAGTAACTGAACTGGAAACATTCTTTACTTTGGCCTGGTATGTAAAATGTATTTTGAGATAAAACTTGGAGAGGAAGAGAAGGGGGATGGAATGAAAGTAGGAGACATATGGAGAAATAAGAGAGGAGAAGGTAAAGAACAAAAGACGAATAAGGTCAATATTTTAACAGAGGGTGGAACATTTTAATGGAGGGTGGAGATGGAGTGAACAGAGAAGTGTTGATATAGAGGAAATTCCTTATATGGGGGAAAGAAACCAAATGCTTCATGCAGGAAACAGAGTGTAAATACTTTGAAGCCCATGATGCAGGAAGAACACTTATAAGCACCCAGGCCACTTCAGCTCATTGACGTAGTCTGGGTGCACTGACCCAGTCTTGCATAGTCCTGCAATGTAAATTATTGCAGTTAATGGTTACTTTGCAGGACTAACACTGCCTGTAGCGGCTGTCAATCAGACAGCCACCAGAGGCACTTCCTGGTGGCTAACCGACTTCTGGTCACCTGACACTCCACCATCATTAAAATTCCCATAGGAATGCATTGAAGCAATGCTTTCCTGTGGTGAGGGCCTAATGCCCAGTGCTGAGGGACATCTGCACTGGAATTGGATACGTGACTAAAGGATTTTTTAACCATTTAGCGGCTGTCGGTGGGTGAGAGAAGGGAGGACCAAAGCTTTGTATTCCTTACTCTATAGAATCCCTGCAAAGGAGCACTACAGTGTTAGCAATACAATTCATACCTAATGCACATGTGCTGTGAGTGCCGCATGTTCATTAGACCTTCTCTATAGGAAAGTGTTGCCTCAATGGTTTTTCAACATGCCTTACATGAGGACGTCCAGCATGGTTTCAGCCAGTCAAACTCCACTAGAGGCAGTCTTAATACTGCAATGCAACTGACAATGAGATGAAGTGGTCTGGGTGCCTATAGTGTCCCTTTTAAGTCCCTTTTAATAACTTAAATAAAGATAGCACATACTGAACAACCAAAAAGCTGGAGAAGCCTGAAATGAGCAAAAGAGTGAGCAAAAATTAAGTCTGAGCACATTTGGATCTTTTACTTCATTCCTGCCGAAGATTTAGCACTCCTGCTCAGTAATGTTTGCCATCACAGCTCCCTGGAGCGCTCACACATTCTGGAAGGTAATATTTTACTATGGAAAACCAGAGTTTGTGATTTTTGGGACAATGCTCCGGGCAGCCTAAAGTCAATTATTTGCCTATTTTTTTTTAATTTCTTTATTTTTAATTCGACACAAAATGCGGCATAGCAAAATTCAATGGCTCGCGCAGGGGCCGGTTACAAGATATTTTCCATGGTTTACAACAGTGGTTAAATGTTTAGTAGGTTAGACGACTTTGATTTTAGCCGCTCTGTGTCGGAGTTTAAGTTTTAGGGGCAGTTTTGCCCGTACAAAAAATACAACAATTACAGAGAACACAAAAAAGAACAAGGAACACAACAGTGCAACACAATAGGGTAAAATACAATACTCTCTGTATGTATAAGACAGGTTTTACAGTGCTGTCCTAGTGACGCACATTGCTTGCGTTGAGTCTATATACTCTGTTCTGCGTGGAGTAGTCCTGAGGTATGTGGCGTCGGGTATGTGCTCTAAGCCCTGTCGTGAGACCGTCCGCGTGGTAATATGATGGGTTTGGTACCGGTTTGAGTAACGTCCCCCAGTTACAGAGTTTCAGAGACAGCCCGTCTCGCGAACCATCCCCCGTCGGGGTCTGGTTTGGACGCAGAGAGCGGTGCCCCGTCGTCTTTTCTTATGGCCGTGGCTAGCTTCATGGAGAGGTCTTAGTGGGTGGTCGTGCGTTTGCCAGTGGTCCTTGTGTTGAACTTTGTGGTCGTAATACCAGGTTGTAGATGTAGTGTAATGTGTTGGTTTGGAACTTGTGTGGGTTCTTCCCGGTGGCTGGTTGGTGATGTTTTAGGGCTTTAAGTGTAGCTTTTACTGTCGTCCCCCTATCTCCCTGTTTAATGATGGAGGGGGGAGGGAGAGGGGGTGGGGGGGGATAAAAAAGGGGGGGGGAGGGGGAATGCTGTTCGCTGGGGCGTGCGGCGGATCAAGGCCCGTTCCAGGCCTTTGTCATTGTCCTGCTTATGGAGGATTAGTCATCGAGATAGTCCTCCCAAGGTTGCCATATTTTAAGGAATGATTTCTCCGTGTTCCTAATTTGGGCTGTGAGTTTGTCCATCAAGTGTGTATCTTTGATTTTGGCTATCACGTCCTCGTCTGTGGGTATCGTGGACTTAAGCCACGCCTGGGCTAGAGCCCTTCTGGCCGCTAGTGTGATTTTATTATAGAGCTGTTGTTCCTTTCTAGGGAGACCGTCTATGGGTTTGGACAGTAGGACCGACCATGGGTCTAGATCTATACTTTTCTTCAAAACGTCAGTTAGTAGTTTCTGGATGCGCTTCCAGTATTTGTGTAGTTCTGGGCATTCCCACCACATGTGCACAAGGGTACCTCTGCCTCCGCAGCCCTTCCAGCATGTGTCTGTCGTGGTTTTCCCCATTCTGTGTAGCTGCACAGGTGTAGTGTACCATCTCATGAGCATTTTATATGATTGCTCCTGTTGCAGCACGCAGATTGAGGTTTTAGCTGTCGCCTCCCAAATATCCACCCAGTCCTCTCCTTCCAGCGTACCCCCCAGGTCCGTCTCCCATTAGCCAATGTAACGTGGGTCATTAGCATTTTTAAGTGGGGCGCTGAGTTGTGCGTAGATAGTGGTTATTAAGCCCTTCGGTATGGTTTCGGCGTTACATAATTGTTCGTAGAACGTCATGGGGGTGTGGGCTGCTTTTCTGACCTCAGGGATTTTGGCAAAGTCTCGTAATTGGATATGGCGAAATACATCTTTCGTGGTCAGGGGCGCTAAGGTTTTGAGGCTATCAAACGTTCGGAAGGAATTCCCCTCATACATATGGCCATACCTCTGCATTCCAGTGCTCTCTATGCCCCTAAAGTCTCGTGCGCTCAGCCCGGGTTCGAATGCTTTATTCCTCAGATATGGGGTTAGTGGTGAGGGCGTGTGTTTGAGTGCGTATTTGGTGGCCGTGTTGTCCCAAATTCGTATGGAGTTCAGGATTGCCGGGCAGGTTGTCCGGAGAGCTGGTCTGTCTTGTCTGGGCACCCATATCCAGAACTGTGGGAGATCGGTGCTCATTAATTTCGTTTCCAGGTCGACCCATCGATGTGAGCCGTCTGGTGAATTATTTGCCTATTTTGCATCTATTGTCAGAGTAGCATGAAAGGGGACCTGGATCTTACATCCCTCTCTCTGTGATTTCCCTACTTAATCCCCCAATTCATTTATTTTGTTTATTAAAAATCCATCCCTCCAAAAATTCCTCCTCCATTTGTCATATCAGAGCGTGTGCATACGCACTGAGCCGGCAAAACAGTCTAATCACAGCCTTCTCCTGGTGACGTCAAATGGAGATCTCAAAGGAGCTTTGCCAGGAGCTTACAATACCAAATAACTATATTGTATTAGGAGGGATGGAGCACATGATAGAAATATCCTCTGCTCAGGTGTATGACTTTCTGTATGCCATGTTCCTGTAAGGCTATACCAAACCTTGAAATCAAACGCCAGAATGCTTTTATTTAATGCATACCACAGTCTGGCCACATAAATATAGTATTTGTAAAATAGCACTCTGTGATACTTTTTATTCTGGCATCGTTTTGTACATCATGTTTTTTATTCTCTTTTTTTATCTTTATTTTTCTTCTCGCTGTCATGATGTCTTTAGTAATCTGTCGTTTAATCCTTCTTAGTCTCCTTTTTCATTGCTCAGCAGAGCTCTGAAAAGTCAACAAACTCTCTGACCTGTGCGTTCTCCCCACTCCTCCTTGCTGCAGGGTAAATATTTTTACATTTTACTGACACTGAAGAGGGAGATGCTATTAATTTAAGCAAGTATGCATTTTACTACATGCCATGTTCATAATTACCAGTCAGGACACACACAATCTCTGCTGAGTGAATGCTGCATGTTGTGATCTTGTAGGACACATAACTCAATAGACAACACATATCTACTAATAAAAAAGGACATTCATATAACTCACACAGAAGGTCAAGGTTGGAGCCTGTGCACGGAGGTCTGTACGAGACAAGCTAAGCTCTGTTTAGCAAGCCAGTGGGCCAATGTTGGCCAACCACAACTAGTGACATTGATCTCAATGGCTTAGAAATTAGAGAGATGGATGTCCCACCAATCATTTTGTGTGGGATAAGCAGTCAGATCATCAGAGTAATAAATTGGCTGTGATGCATTAGTTAATGTATTTCCACCAACAGTTAGGTGAAAGTTGAACACTTCGGTGCTTCTGCGTTGTATCAGTAGCGGCCCACTGGAATATAATTCCTAAATCAAAACTTTGGGGCGGTAGAGGAAATAATATATAATGAGGGAGAAAATAAATAAGATTGGTGTATACACATTTATGATCAAATACAATTAAAGGACCACTATAGGCACCCAGACCACTTCAGCTCAATTAAGTGGTCTGTGTGCCAGGTCCCTCTAGTTTAAACCCTGCAGCTGAACACATAGTTTCAGAGAAACTGCTATGTTTCACTTGGGGGTTAATACAGCCTCTTGTGGCTGTCTCACTGTCAGCCAC